TTAATAGCTTACATGCATTCTTACTTCCCTGTTGGTGAGATTTGTGTTTTTCTTTATTAATATCACCCAAGGACGACTAATAAATTTAACTTCTACTCATGGCTGGTCAAGTTTTTATGTCCTCCTTTCTGTTAGTAGTTCCTTGCGAGGGCAGTGTCTCCATAAATTTCTCTCTGTGGAACGAGAGGACTTCCTTCACAAGCTAATCCAACAGTTTGATTATCATTCTGCAAGTTATTCTCTATTATTGCAATGAAAATTACAGACCTTTATCTGAATATATGGTTTCGTCTTAGCAGTCAACCAAACTATTCTATCAGCAACTTTTGGCTACATTAAAAATCTCTGTGTCATTTTAGTTTTTTGCATACCCCTATGTTATATGGACAGTGCCAAGCTATAATATTTCTTTTATGAGAAACTCTTTCAGAAGAAAATGAACAATGTAAGGAGGACAAAGTTTCCCCTTAATTAGATGTTACCTCAACTGTTTCTCCGATTTCCTTTTAATTGATGGGTGTCTATTCTTTCATGACACTGAGGAGTTTATCTAACAAATCCACAATAAATTCATATATCCCTGACAGTCATATCCTCAATTCATCTATGCAGTAACCTTGTAATTCATTTAATAGTTCTCCTTTCAATGTTGGTTTGTTGTTGCTACTGCTCCTTTCCCCATGATTTTCATACCTGATTTGATATGCTTTACTTTAGCCAATGGCCTATCAGGAACAACCTCTCCACCTTCACAAGGTATAGGGTAAGGGTGTGTTGTTGTTGTTGTTGTTGTCCTCCCATGTTGGTTTGCTATGTTTTTTCAACCTATGGTTGTTTTCTTAATTAAAGAAAGATAGTCCTCAGAAGTATTTCAGGACTCCATTTCTTAATGGAATTTTTCCCAGCAGTAAATGTGTTTTAGATGGCTACCTTTCTGTTGAGGAGTAAAAAACCTCCAATTTTCGACTATGTCTGCAGGAGTTGAGGAGAATCATAAGAGTCATGCTATTTACTGGTGGATAATTGGGGGTTTGGGTGCTGGTCTTCTCCTGATTGTCGTCATTCTTGCTTTTGTTGTCTGTTGGTCGTCAAGTTGTTTTTCCAGAACTGAGAGAAGTCATACAGCAGGTTCAAATGAAAAGATTTCTCACAAGTTCCAGATACTTCGAAATACAAGTTTCTGTTGTGCCTCAGGAAGGTACATTTGCGGTAACTCAGGGGACCTGCAAGAACCGAATGGAGAATCTACTGACCAACAGATTAATATTCCAAAAGGTCAGAACGTAGACATGCATGCTTTTTATTGATATTACTGAAGGTCTTAACTTTTAATTTCCTCCAAACTATTATGCATGATATCAAGTCATTTGCTTATATGTATTAAAATATGCCTGTGATCTAAAATCCATCAAAGCAATTCATAAGTGACACCTGTTATAGACTTATTGAACTCCTGCTAGAGGGGAATGGGAAGTTGGGAAAAGCAAAAAGGGGTTTGGTTCCATAATCATTATGTAAAGATATCCTCGTATGGAGTTTCAGATGGAAACATAAAGCTAAAACTAAATGACAGGCATGGTACTGATCAAGTTATCATAGTCAAATAGAAGCAAATCGACCAAGATGTCAAGTAAGCTCTCAAAATTAAATAATACTGCTTTTACCCAGCTTGGGGTATACATGTCATAAGCAAACTGTTATGTGAAGGTTACACATTAGGAACATCCCACTAAATTTCAAGTTGTACCCTTGAACTTGAGTTTCTCGAGAATTGATGTCTAAATGATGATGTAGTTATAGGCTTATAGCCGTCCTATGTTGCTCAGACTCTCCAAAATGTTGCTTTACCCGTGTTGAATCCTCCAAAAAAAAACTACTTTTGAAGGATGTGACACACACCTGTTGACATTAATGAAGAATCGGAGCAACATAATTTGCCGGCATTAGTTGAAAATGCCAAGCCTATGTTGGCCTTAGTCCTTTACTCGCTTCTAATGGTGTGCCACAATGGTAAAAGGATTATTTGAAAATGTTCATAGAACTTTTTCGCCTGTGCTCATAATGGGGGAAAATGTAGTTTCACTATCATGCAGGATTTCTCAATATAATAATTGACTATTCTTTTTTTGTTAAAAGAAAAAGAAGAAACAAAAACTGACTATTCTGGGCTTCCTTGCAGTTATAGGGACTGATGTCTTTGATATGGAAAAACCTCTTGTTTTCGCCTATGAAGACATTCTATCTTCTACTGATGGATTTTCTGACTCCAATCTTCTTGGTCATGGAACCTATGGTTCTGTCTATTACGCCATTCTTCGCAACCAGGTTACTTCTCTCTACTTTACCTATATTGATAGATTTCCTGTCAGCATTGCGTATTAACTTGCTTATATCTTTGAAACGCTAACCTTTCAGGAAGTTGCAATCAAAAGAATGACTGCTACTAAAACAAAAGAATTTACTGCTGAGATGAAAGTTCTATGTAAAGTTCATCATTTGAATTTGGTAATAAATACTGAATTTCACTGCAGTATCCTGAGTTTTTATTTTTGGAGCTTGATGATAGTGCTACATCAATTCAAAGTTTTGACTCCTGTCTTTGGTATTATTTTGTCAAGGTAGAATTGATCGGCTATGCAGTCAGTAATGATGAATTATTCCTCGTTTATGAATATGCCCAGAAGGGTTCTCTTAAAAGCCACTTGAATGACCCTCAGAACAAAGGTACACATCTTGAAGATAATCGTTAATCTCAGAATTTCTGTGTAGTGTATATATACATTTTTTTTTCCAGTTGTTGATATGGAATTGACCTGTCACTGCTGTATTATGGTGAAATAGCTAGATGATCTGACCTCTTATTTTGGGTAGGCCACACACCACTCTCTTGGATCATGAGGGTCCAAATTGCACTTGATGCTGCTAGAGGCCTGGAATACATTCATGAGCACACCAAGCCGCATTATGTGCATCGAGATATAAAGACAAGTAACATCCTGCTTGATGATTCTTTTAGAGCAAAGGTTGTAGCTATTTTGGTGCCTGATTTTACTCCTTTGTGGCTGTCATTTTTCAAACCCAGATTCTCATCCCCTATGTTTGCAACAGATTTCAGATTTTGGTTTGTCAAAACTTATGGGGATAACTAATGATGCAGAAGCCTCTGCAACACGAGTTGTTGGAACCTATGGCTATGTAGCTCCAGAGTAAGCAACATAACCAACAATAAGCAAGAACACAAACGGAAACTTCTCTCTGATTTTATTTGTATCTCTTGTTCTTGCAGGTACTTGAGGGATGGCCTGGCAACTAAAAAGACTGATGTGTATGCATTTGGTGTTGTTCTTTTTGAGATGCTGACAGGTAAAGAGGCCGTCACCCGGACTGAAGGCAATGTGATGAAAACTGCAGAAAGACGCTCCTTAGTGTCCATTGTAAGTTTTATTGCTCACAAACTGTTCAAAATTGGAAGCATGCTACGAAATGGATTCCATTTGCCCGTGTCGCCTCTTCTAGTCTGTTATGTGATAAAAAAGATGAAAAACATTTATTTTATCCTACAATTGAGTAAGATCAAATTCATGAAATTTCTGAAAAATGTTTTCGTATTCATCAGACTTGGTCAATGTACGACTAGATTCCATTGCCGATCTGGCAATCATCTTTATCAAATTGAGAAGTTTACTGTTCTCAGGTTTAGGATAAGTTCATCAACTTCCTAAATGCTTTACTTCGAAAAAAAATTGAAACGCCCTTGCCTATTGTTATACATAGCTACAGTGTTGTGCTGTGCCTATGTATAGGTATACTTATGCATAACATGTATATTATTTACACACTTCTATGCATACTACGAATCAATACTTGGCAGTGCTTAATGCTACATAATTGCAGATGCTGGCAGCTCTGAGGAACTCACCAGACTCCACTAGTATGACAAGCTTGAAGGACCAGCTGGATCCCAGTTTGATGGATTTGTACCCTTCTGACTGTGTTTTCAAGGTAAGTTACAGCTTAACAATTATGTTTGTCAACTTTGAATCAGTTCAAGTTGTGCCTCATCTATAGTAACTTGCATAGAATTGGTAGGGACACTAACCACCTCAGCTGCTTTAGTTAAAATATAGACAGAAGAGATAGTTTAAGATTAGAAGTTGATAGTTATTATCAGCTGAGTGACATAGATGGTTGATTTTCTACTGAAATTTGACGACTTATTTCATTGTGTCCACCATCATTAATTGTGTTTACTTTGGTAGGTGGCTATGCTGGCTAAGCAGTGTGCGGATGATGATCCAATATTGAGACCGGACATGAAGCACGTGGTGATCACACTTTCACAGATAATGTTATCCTCAGTGGAGTGGGAAGCAACTCTTGCTGGGAACAGTCAAGTGTTCAGTGGCATTGTGCAGGGAAGATAGGTCCCATATGCTAGCTGCTGCCTTGCACACTCATATATAATGTACATAGTAATCTTGTATTTTTGAAGCCAATCTTCTCCATTTTACCAGTCCAGTCACTTTTTTTCTACCATTCTTTATAATGTTTATCTTTTTTATGCACTGAGTACTCTCGTATAGCGGATTTTTTCCTTATTGGGATACCGAGAGTTTAAGTTGCAGTTTTGCATTTAATATATTGTAAAAGTTTTCAATTATTACCCAAAATGTTTAAGTTCTTTCCATTCTATTGTCTGCAGATTGTATATTTCACAGTGGTGTTCTTATTTAATATAATCATTGTAAGGTCTAATATAAAAGTCATTGAATTGGTTCATGAAACCGAAATAACTTATCTATACTGAGATATTTAAAATATGTGTCATGCCTGCATTGGTTTGGTGTAAACTTTTGGTGCAGGTAAATTTTACCCCAGAAAACTTGTTTTCCCTATTATTTCATAAGCTTTTAGAAAATTGTGTTACTACGGAAATTTATTTGTAAAACATTGTGACCAATTGAAAAACATTTTCCGGAAAACATTGTGCTCTCCATGCATAAAAGATAACAAAACTAGTAAAACTTCCATCATGATTACCATAAAATGATAACATCAAAGGACAGAGAATTAAGTTCTTCAATGTCTGCCATAAGAGAGGATCAAATAGAAGACAAACTATTACAAACTTCAAACAGGCCTATATTCTTTGTCATTGCTTTTACTTGCAGAGTGAAGCTAACACACGACGAGGTGGGTTGAACGATTTTCTGGAGTGAAGAACAGCCAAATTGTCAATCAGCAAGACATCGCCTTTCTTCCATGGAATCGCGACACTTTCATCCTCAAGGATGCTTAAACAATCATGTACAACTTCAGCAGGCAAAGGCTGACCATCTCCAAAAGTGACTGCTTTCACAGGATCGTTTTTAGCATCTTTCCATCCAGTATAAGCAGCTACCATGCTATTGAACCATATTTTCTGCTGCCTTTCTTCGTTGAATTTGATGCCTGGTATAGGTCCCATGACGGTTTTAACACCATCTTCTAGCCATTCCAGCTTCATCCCTAACTTGGCAGCCCTGTTAAATGTCACGCAAGTCGATTAGTACATTGTACAATTATCAGGCATTTGGTTTTATAACAACATTATCTACCCATCAACCTTCATCCTAAGTGAAGAAAACGTTTTACAAACAATCATACTCCGACCTCTATGTTAAGGGTGGGAAAGCAAAATGAAAACCATTAAGGTTGCAAGCAAGTAGCTAGGCAACGTTCTTGTCTGTCACAAAATAGTGCACTGTCAGCCTTGTACTACATTTTTCTGCCACTGCAGTTACCAGAGTCTTATATTTCATGACCTTACGTTGTTCAAATGATGCAGTGCCCAACACATCCTGAAGCTTCCTCTTTTCCAAAACACTAGAATCAGATATCCTCATATGAAAGGTACATAATGTCTGCTTTAGGCATTGCATCATTTGAATAGACAAAGTCGTAAGGTCATGAAATCTGCAAGTCAGGTGATAGAAATAACATCAAGCGCCAGCTCCAATAATAAACAATTCAATGTTAATGTCTGTTTCAGCAGCAAAAAGCAATTGTACTACAACAATTATGTTTTTGTCATCAATTCCTACTTCACTCTTTCCCCTATTTAATGTGTTTTATATTCCATGCACCATCTTTACGAGTCAGCTGTTATAACTTAACTCATTACTTATAGCAGTTAGGGAAGTATAAGGAAGAGGTTCAAAAAAGGACCCATCTCTACCACTTCTCTGATATTTTATCTCTCACACTGTCGCCCAATATGAAAGAGTTAAACTTGTGCATCATTACTGCAAAATTTCAAGTTAATAAAGAAGAGGTATCAGTTAATTCATCTAGCTGCTGCTGCTGCTACAACAACATACCCAGTGGGATTTGGGAAGGGTGGAGTGTACCCTTTTTCCCATCTTATAAGGGGTAGAAAAGTTGTTTCTGATAGACCCTCATCTTGAGTAAAGCAGATCAAACAAGTAGGAAAAAATTACAGTAAAGAATATCAGTAGCAACAACAATCAATATGTAAACCAAATGAAAGGAAACAACAGGTAATACCAAAGAGTGAAAAAAAGACATATTTCCTAGCAACTACACAACAAGTTAAAAGAAAACAAAGGATCAAAGTACAAACCTTTCTTCAGCAACACTCTTATCTTTGGTTAAAAATGTAGACTTCCAGCCTCGACCAATCGGGGAAGAAGGATCATCATCTTCCCCTAATACCCTTATATAGATTAAGCCATGCTCTTCCAATCGCTCAACAAACTCAGGATACTTATTCTTCATCTTCTCATATACAACATTACTTACAACTATTGGAGTCTCTCCCCCACTTCCAGGTTCCACATCACAAAAGAAGAACAACTTTGACGGATACTCGGGAACCTACTCCACGAAAGTAAAATGCCAAAATTATTATCCAATACAGTTAACTATAGAAAAGAACAAAGTCTTGGGAGAAAAAAGGGCATTATTTTTCTTTGTACAGAGAGTTTAAGTTATATACACCGATTAAGAAATTTTACACTAATCGAGTCCTCAGCCAACCAACTGAGCTAGTAAGAATCATCAATCGCCTATATAACTCAAACCCTTGTATAAATAGAAGATAGATAAGGGATTTCTACCACTAGTACTTGTTTTTACCTATTCTTGATCTTATACCCATCATTAATTCAATCAATTACACCTCAAATTCAAACAAAAGGTACAATCTTTTCTATCCATTATTCTCGGTAGAGTTTATAATTACTTACACTTCAGTGATTTATACTCTCTCCCTCCCAATTTACGTGCCAATGTTTGAAATTCGAGAGTGAAACTAGTTTTTCTTACAATTTAATTAATTCTAGATGGTATATACCTGAGCCATTTCATGATGAAATGGAATTTTTTGATCAGGTGGCGATTCATTAGCAGTGAAGACACGACCAACAACACTAGTGCGAGGAGCAGCACCGCCGACGTACGGCAGTTCCTCGTAGCCGAAAGCTTCAACGACGTCATTAAAGTCTGATGCTGAGTTCACCGGAAATCCCCTGAAAAGAATAGCCCCAGATTGATGGAGAAGAGACCCAACCCATGTTTTTTGTTCTTTGATTATCTGAGGAAGTTGGGATATAGGTTGATTAGAGTTTGGAGATAACACAGCTGGAAAAGGAACTCCATTGTAAAGCTTCTGTTGAGGTACTCCGACTTGGGTCAACAAATTTTCCGGCATTTTTTCTTCTTTGCTCTGTTTTCGCCATTAATGAACAATTTGTGAGTTATATATAGAACAGAGCAGCGTCACGGCTGTGCTAATCTTTTTGTCAATTTCAGGGCAGAAAGATTTAATTTTTTATTTTACCACGAAATACGTCCATATTCATTGATTAAAGCAAATTATGGATATCTAAAAATATCTTATTAATATCTAATTATATTTAAGATATGTAATTATAATTTTAAAAAATTACAAAGTTATATTTTGAGTTTTATAATAAATATAGAAATTACACTATATGTATGTGTCAAAATTGATATACTTTATTGCGCTATGTTTTTAATTTATACTTATTATTTGAATACTAATACAATTATATAATAACTATATAGCTATATTTTCATAAATCTGCAATTGTAGCAACGATTTGCAAATTATGCTCTAAATTATAACTATTTATGGATTTATTTGCTTCGATTATAGGTAGTAATAAATTTATTTTATTTTTATATTAAAATGATGAAAGTAATTACATCAAAATATGAGACGGCTAAATTCATAAAATGTTCTATTTACCTAATTTCACCAACCAAATGATAAAAGGAGTAATTTATAATTATAAACTAACGAAGAAATGGTATGGGCCAGAAATATATTTTTTGCAGGGCAGGGCGGTGCAACAATGGTGATTTCTTTTGTTTATTATTTTTTCCTTTTATGCCCAATAAGTTTGTTTTTTTTTGTTAAATAAATATATATTATATTATAATGACAATTAACTAATATCAGATTCTCTAAAAAAAAAAATTTTTTTTGGATGTCTAGACACAGTTTGTGCCATGATCAATATTTTTAATTTTTTTTACTGAGAATCATCACATGCTTAATAATTTTTTATTTTGTCGTAATTATTACGAATATAATTATCTCTATTCTATTATAATGAAAGTGGAAATGGATGGACGAAAAAATACACAATAAATTTAAAATTTATAAGAATAAATCATAGATTAAGATTCAAATTTATAATTTATTTTGTTATTAAATTTTAAAACAAGTGTTTTGAAGTATTTATTTTAAAAATCTTATCCAAATATTATAAAAAATGCCTAAAAACTATTTAAGCTTATAAATACCAAAAATAAGTTTAATTCAAATAAAGTAGATGAGATGAAACGAATAAACGAGCCAAACTATTAAAGCGTGTATCAAACTGACCAATAAAAAATTTAAGGTGAAAATACGTAATATTTTACATGCACTAACAATATATGTCAATTTATTATAATTAAATGATAAAATTGTGTGTTGAGTAGAGTTTAGATGAGTATGTTTCTATCTTTTCGAGTTCAAACTTTTTATGTTATGCTCAAGATTATCCTTACATGCTCATATATTTAATGTTGTGATGTCATTTGGTCTGAATCGTTTCATAATGCATGTATAGGAGATCAAGATCATCAACAAATGCTTTGTTGACACCATAACAGGTCGAGCTAAATTTAATGAGTCTCCTTGCTTTGAGAGGATCGTTCATTTATTTATTTCAGTTTTGTTAGCTACTACAAATAACTTAGTATTTTCTATTCAAGCTATTTAAATATTTACAAAACTAATTTTTTTCTATAAATAGGATTCAGTCTTAGGCAAAGAAACACATAACATCATAAATAATAATTATTTGATCCCCTCCCAAACAAACTTATTTATCTTTCTCTTTTGTTATCAATAGAAAAAAAATAAAATTTACTTTCGTTGAAAGTAAAACTCACAAGAAAGTCTCATAGAAGAAAGGATAGAAAGAGTTCTCGAAAAAGACTTATGAATTGCACATTTTATGATATTGAAATGATTATAATCATCTATAGTTCATACCACAATGATTTTTTAGTGTTTTCAAATCATGAAATTACAATAAGTTTTCTACAAAATTTAGGGATCTTAAGAATTTTGTTTTTAACAAAAAATTATAGTGACGAAAGAAAAGTTCACCACACAAAAAATGAAACGATAAAAAAATAATTGCGTAAGGTGATGAAGGAAATCACGAGCACATTGTATAAAGTGTTGAAGGGAATATCTAAGAAACGTATTTCCCTGCAACACTTTATGCATTATGTTTCTGATTTTCTTTCTTATATTTCGTAGTTATTTCCTTCATCATTTCAATTATTTGCTTGGTGAACTCCTCTTTTGTCAACATATTTTTTCTTATTAAATTATCATTGGAAGATTTCTAAACTTTGTAAAAATATTGATTGTAGTTGCATGTTTAGTTACATGACAATTTATTGTAATAAGGACTATATATGATTGTAGTTACTTTAACACCGCAAAATGTGTTGAGTTTATAAGTCTTTTTAAAAATTCTTTTGTCTTTTTTTTTTGTGAGACTTATTTATCAGTTTTATTTACAATAAAAGTAAGCTTCACTTTTGTCACCATCCATTTTAAGTAATTGAGACCAGAACTAGCTGGAAAGAATCTCAAAGCAAGTCTTAACATAAATCTACATAAAATCGAAAATAAAATTTCTATATTTTTGGGCTTATTCAATTTTTCTCTGTCTTAAAATTAATGATACAACTAATAACATCTCAAACCCATGACATAATTCCATTAACAATTCAATCGCCATGTAATAATAGCAATTCTTCTCCAAATATGAAAAGAAATTTAAAATTAGTTTCTTGACTACAATATGAAGGAATAATCAGAACTCTAATAAAAGGACTGACAAATGAAGTAACTCTAAGAGTTTTAAAAGAACAAAATAAATCATAGCAATTCGATATGTCACTTGTCACGCGAAGCAATGCGAGGATCACTAATCAATTCATACTATATTATTAATGAAATCGTCGCCAACGCTACCTGAGTTCTCTGTAAAAATATTTAGCGTGGAGTGATACACTAGCTCATTGAGTAATAACACTTAATTACAATCATTTTTAATGAAGGGCAAGTCAGAAACAATGCTAGTACGACAATCGAAGTAACAAAATAAATGTCCTTTCAAAAATGATAACAATATTTAATCTTATTTGCCTCATGTAAGCAAAATTCAATGTGAATATCTAAAAGGAAAACTCCAAGAAACACTTTCATAACAAATCTTCTATTTGAGATGTGTCCAAGTTTGAATCATGTAATAAGTGTGACTTTCTTTTCTAATAAATACTGTAACTAATAACAATGAATTCCTTATAAAAGAGTCAAATATTCATAGCGGTAGATTCCTACTCAAGGGATATCAATAACGATATGCTAGTATTACCTTCCATTTGACAAGGGCTATATTAATAATCTATAACTATAAGGTTCACCGAATCTAACGAACCTTCGTTAGCTATGATCCATCGAGGTGTACTCTGATTTATACTTTTTTTCAGAATCAAACAGACATTTAAGTATTGTCAAATTATATTATGTCAAACATAAAGAAAATATGTGTCAGAATATTATTTCTCAATTAAATATTAAAACTTTTCAATAACGATAATCATATCTCAAATACCTATCAATAAATATGTCTTTGTAAAAAAATAAATTCACCTCAAATAAATATTTCAATATCATATCAAATAAAAAACTTATTTCATATCGGAGTCCAAAATATTTACTTTTATAAATCATATTATAAGTGAAAACAGTTCATTGTTCCCAATTTAATTTAAAAGAAACACGTTTACTGCCCGCGTACTTTATACGGTGTATATATATATATACACGTCAATTTACACAGAACTTGAAAAACCCTCGCTCTACCTTAAACCCTCCGATTACCTCTTCTCCTTAAAAATCCTCTTCTCCTCCGTCACTCTACTGTCTGTCATGGATGGCACTCCGACAATTCACTATGTCATTCACATTGAGTCTTACGTGAGCTCTTCCAGCTCCGAGGCACAGCAGGTATGTTCTCCTCTTATTCTTTCATACAATTTCAAGAATTCAAGAAAAGTTTCATACAATTTCAACAAGTCAAGAAAGGTTTACAAGTATCTAATTTCACTTCTTGATTTCGTCTTTTCAGGCGGCAAGTATTGACGCGATTGCTCTTCTTCTCAAGAATGACTTGTTAAGTTTAGAAACCTTGGTGAGTGATCAGTAAAGATTTGTTTTTTTTTATGCAATTTGTATAATTTTATTTGTTTCCTGAAGCTAAATTTTTGGGTGGATACATATAGGTTAGGGAGATGGAGATGTATTTGACCACTACAGATAATATCATTCGTTCAAGAGGTACCCTTTATTTTTTTCTTTCATCTTTTGGTTATTGGTATTAATTTTGATAATTGAAATAATTGTCGGAAGCAAGACAAGGAAATATATCCCCCATTCACAGTGCAATTGTTGGTATGTTGGTATGGACTGGGATTGATTCGAGTAATTTAGGATTTTTGTCTGTGATTCTACTCTCTTTCAATCAATTATTATTATGTTGCATTAGACTTGGATAGGACTAAGAATGAAGTTGTCCAGGACTAGGTCGAAATGACCCCATTTGAGGTTTTTAAAAGTAGACTACTTGTTTATCTTCACATTATTCTGCACCGTTTTTGATTCCACTGTTTGGATAGGATTTTTAAGAGTGTTGTGTCCATATTATTATTTTTGGTATTTAAATATTAGAAAGAGCAATTGAGGGAAGATGTACTTGCCCTCTCCATAAGAGTATACATAGTCCAGAGAATGTGAGATGCTGAGAAAACCGATAAATCTGTCGGCAACTTATTGTGCATTGTCCTATTGATTTGTTATCTTCTGTTAAAAATCTGAAATCAGTGTTTAGCCAATTGGGGATTCAATTAGACAAGCATTATGTGTTGATGTAACAAATTTGCGTTTGGGTATTATTGTACTTAAGTTTTTGAAAATTTTCGGATATGCCGCTTGGCTATTCCCTTGAGCCTTACTAAATATTCATTATTGGTTCCCAGAAACATTGTGTATGTAAATATGTCATGATTCGTTGTGGCAGTAATGTGAGATATTTTGCATGTCCATGGAATTTTTCTCCCTGTTGTCACTTGTCAGTGGCTTGCTTGAGGTGTGT